GAAATGAGAGAAGATCGTTCGCAGTACCGGTACAAAATAAATTTATGGTGCGGTATTTTTAATTGTCAGATATTGGGACCTGTGGAACTGCCGCCAACGCTCAACTCTCACAGTTATTCAGAGTTCCTTCAGGAACTTCGGCTTCCAACGATGGATTGGACGATACGGACCAATCACGTGGCCCGCTCGATCGCCAGACGTGCATCCATTCGATTTTTTCTACTGGGGCTGTCTTAGGGACAAAATTTATTCAAAAACAATTAAAAACGAAGAGCATTTGCGGGAACAAATAAATGGAGCTGCTGCTGAGATAGCTGAGATTAAGTTTAAGATCTCTAAAAGTGTATTTTCTTAAAAGGTGCCGAGCTTGTATTAGAGTAGAAGGTCGCCAATTTGAGCATATTTTATCAATAAATGAATAAATTTTTCTTCAAACAACTCATGTATATTTTGTTTCACGTGAACCCATCCTTCACAAAAAATATTGATAGATATAGCCCTTGTTATAGACTCTAGTCCGAATTCCGGTAAGTAACAAAAAATTATGTCAGGAGCAGGTAATAATGTACCTTTGGACTATTTAGCATGTCATTGGCCGGTAACAAGAGCAACTTAAATTTAAATCTATTAAACACATTCTAGCGTGTCTTAGTCCTTTACCCACAAAAGCGGCTATAACTTTTTTTTCTATTCGAAACTGTAAGAGTGGCACCTTTCTGAAACCTTTATTAAATTGGCAATTTTTTTATGTAATTTAAAGTTATAGCTCAGTACATTTTTTTTCACCAGAGATAGTGAAAGTTGGGGAAGAAAATATCAAAAAGTAAAAATCCCAAAATAGTCCTTTTTTTATGATGGTTCCTTAATATATTTTAACTACATTGCATTTGAGTATGGAGAAGCAACTGTCTGGAAGTATTTTACATAAAAAATTTACTAAGTATAGCCTGGTTTGTAGATGCAGTTAAAGAAAATACATGAAAAAGCACGATTTTTTTTTAATTAAAAAAAATGTAAATATGTACTTCAAAAGCGGTGACACTTTTACCTGAAAATTTTTTGTTTATTAGGGAGTTCATCCCCACACCTACCTTCCCCTAAAGTTTGGCACGTTACTTCTGGGACACCCTGTATATTGTAAGAAAAAATTTGACCATATATCATTGTTCACTGTAAATATTCTCGGTTATAGCATCGAAAGTTACTTAAATTATCGCAATATTTTATTCCTATTCAAACTGATCAGAAACCACAAACCATTATACCTGTACCGTAAATTAAAATTTGTTCAATCGTCTCGTACCTGTAATATTGTTGTCCCTAAATACCATACATTAATAGCCTCAAGATTATTTTTTGTTAGTGCTATCAGAATATGGAATTCACTACCAAATTCAATAAAATGCGTAAGTTCGATTCAATGCTTCAAAACAGCAGTTGCAAATCTACTCAAAAATTAACTATCCACTTCCCATCCTCTGTCTTTTCAAGTTTTCTGTCTGTCTTTCATCCCTTAGTGTTAGTTATAATATAGCAAGAATGATATGTAGTTCATATACTTATATTATTGTCTTAGCTTAAGCTTAATCTTGTAATTGAAATTTTTGTTATTAGTACGCTTAAAGACTTCGAGTTTTACTGTACTTACAAAGTAAATAAATGATTGATTTATTGATTAATATATTACCAATCGCTAAAATTATCAAAGGTGTCATCTTTGTCTAAAATAAAAGCGCGAAAATGGGGCATAAGGTAAAAATAATTTTAATTTCGATAAATATTGATTCTTGT